GTCTGCGCAAAATTGGAGAAACCAAACTAACATCAATTAAAGCTTTGTTATCTTACAATTAAACCAAAAAAATGCTTTACGAACCCAAATACATCCAAACTATATGCATAGAAGTGTACATGAATACACTTGATGCGTCAATATGCAATGTTAAACAATATTGATATTTAAAACTGTTAACGTAATGCAGTTAAGTAGTAAAATTATACCTTAGCGTTAAGTGATATTTTTCGTAGTTGTAAGTTTGGTTAAGGAATGATTGCGGTTTCTAGCTTTGCAGTACTTGGCATTGTAAACTCACGCTAAACTCGCGGTTAGGGTAAGGGGTGTTTCGGGTACATGTTATGTATGCTACACACACTGCGTAACAGCGGGTAAAACCAGAGGTTATTGCGTTTGACGACTTTATTGACAATCTGAAACAAGTTATGAATATTGAAGTTTGAAAAATATTATTTTCCTCCACTGTAAATGAATTTGTTTATTCCATCCAAATTCGTTTATGAATTATTCATTATTTTTAGCAGACTTTATATATATACAAACACATATTAGACAGTCGTAAACAGACAAAACAACATAAACTGGCGGGTCTTTATACAAGGCTGACTTCTAGACCATTCAATCGAAAAATTTATGATATCATTAAGACGATGTCAGTAAGGCCTTATTACATTTTCAATAAAAGAATACGTAAAAGGCGTTGGGAAAATACGCACGCCTCACTGATTTAGGTGACGGCCTCTTATATACGGATAAGTATTCCTAGTGTTGGCCACGCGCCACGGACGTCAAGGACGACATGAGGTCAACAGGTGCATACTCTGTCAAATACTTTCCTACCCTATCTTCAGTATTTAACACATAGACGCTTCGCTGAAACTGTACATCTTACTCCATATTGTACAGTATTATTTAACAGTACTTACTGGAATTTTACTAGCTAGCTTGGAAAAACATATCAAGAGAAATTTAATTTACTCAGTACTCGATCTTTTACACATGGACATCACAGGAACGTTAGACACACGTTATGTTTTACAATTTGAATATGGATGAAGTATGCTTAATATGAAAAACTTTTCATCATGGAGCTGTTTTGTCCTTCCAGGACGCATCAATACTGCTAGGGGTAAAAGAGTTGGAATACACAGAAGGGAATGTGCGTTAAACCACCTAATTTTAGTAACCTAGAGTCGTACTAGTTAATGACAAATCAGGAATAATGGTAGTGTGTATATCATGAACAATGGTACTACTCAAAAGAGAATCATATCTATTATCACTAGTTTGTACGATTTCCATACTTGCTGTATGATCTCACTGAATAGTCTACTGCTGTGTGGGACTTACACCTCAACCTATTGGGTGCAGGACCTACTAACCTATATGGTTATCTGTTCCTTTTCTGAGATAAGATGACCTTGTTAAATGATATCATTTTAGTGGTTAGTGGCACACATCCATTAACTAAATATTATCATTGATATGGAAATCAATATGTTAATAAATAAAAGAATTAGTATAACGTGAATACACATGAATGAGCACGTGAATAGTTGCCAACAAATGTTCATGACCATTCACAACTTCTCCATTTACACAATCAGCGAGTGTTCAGTTTAAGCCGTGCCTATATGTTTAAGTTAGGAGATAAGACTTCACTTGCAATATCTGCTGTTTTGGAAACTGATGTTGGATCACTTGCATATTCCGTCTTTGCATATTGCAGAGTTGTCTTCTCTTGTGAGCAGGTAATGATTGTTACGTCATTGGTTTGTGTGAAAAAAATTCGTCGTTTTCTCAAAAATTGATGACGTTACTCTCTCAAACCAATGACGTAACAATCAATACCTGCTCCCAAGAGAAGATAACTCTGCAATACGCAAAGACGGAATACGATCTCATATCTCTTCCTTTGCCATATGGCCTATATGTTGCATTGGCATAAAGCATCGAACATACAAGCAGACGGTTGCTGACGTGGAACCTCCTGTACACCTAGTGTGTTCGGCAGTATTCTCTATTAGTGGACTTTGAAAAGACCAAATTATCTGTTAACCTAAAAGTGTAAAAGTGATAATGAAGCCGTTATATATTACACACTGAACTAATTAATCCATATTAAAACTATTGTTTTACGGTATGGATTAGTTTTATGATGATTTATCGGTATATTTTAACGCATGATGAAAAACACATCATACACAGCAAAAACAATATCATTGAATAGCTAAACGTATGGTGGAAGGAAAAATAGCAAAAAATCATTACAGAAGTAGTAAATGTCAAAGGATTGTCAATATGTGTAGATGCTGCATGTGTAATAATTGGTTTGGTTAAGTAATATTCTATGCGGTTATTCTGTATTGAGAGGTTATCCGAGAGATGCTTAAAAGAGGTATTTTTAGCAGGGATGGTCTCCTAATAGCGTGTTCATATATAAAAATGTTCTTTACAGAGAAGAGAAACTTAAGAGAAAACTGTAGTCTTTAAAATAGATGATTGCTTCACAAGGATGGTCTTTCGTGTCGCTGCGATTAGATACCCCGTGGATGTATGAAAACTTGGTTGTAATTTTTGGGGGAGCCTGGTTATAGCAGCCACCTGTTTAAGCGGCCAATTTCTGCCGGTCCCTTGGGTGGCCTCTTAATACAGGTTTGACTGAATATAGATTTTCAAATTTAATCTGAATTTTTGTCTCATATCAAATTTAAAGATGATGGATCACGAAAAGTGTGCTGTCATTGTGCATACGACCTTAAAGCTCTTTTATAATATCCCATTGAATATTGTTTATTAGAAAAATGAAAATTGAACTACACGTGAACTTTCACAAAGATTTTTTTATCTGCGTTTTCGCAACCGTCTAATTCTATTATTTACAGTATCCTGAATTGTCCCATAAAACGTTTGTATGAATAAAGATTTGTTTTCATTAAATGACAGTTTAACTGAAAATTATCATAATTTGTGGCGGTAATTTTATTTGCCATATTAAAGACACCGAATATTGTTACAAAACAAAACTTTAGTCCCAAAATAACAACGGAACAGTGCATGCGGAAACGTTATTATCACAATTACACAATTACGTTCAAAGATTGCAAATTGTTAAATTTTAAAGGATTTTAACAAGTTAAACATGTTTGGTTTATTATTCACTAGGCGTAAGTACTTGGTAAGAAATGTAATTATAATGAGGATATCATTTATTGTAGCATTTGCAAATAATTGTATACCCTTATGCAAGAAGGAAGTTATACAGTTAATATGTATACATGTTATGATATAAACAGAATTAAAGTTATGCTGTATATAGCGTTACCAGTTTGCTTATTGTTACTTCCGAATTTCAAGAAATCACTTTGTACCGAAAAACATTCATTATTTTGAATTTTATGTATTTTGAATCATAAGTTTGTTTTTCACTTTCTAACAGAACTTAACTATAGACTTCACTAGTACGATTTTAGTTAACATTCACTTAACATTCCATCGACGTTACGTAGTATTTTAGTAATCCGATAACCATAAGTATATGTACTATGTTACGATAGCATACACCTGTAACCGTGTGTAAAAAATTGCTATCAATCGACCAGGGCCAATATTCTTGAAACCGTTCTCATGCTCAAACCAACTTTCTTGCAACTAAATCTTAAATCTTGTCACGCGATCAAAAAGTCAAACATAGATATTGAAAACATATTTCGGCCTTACATCACATCAATTTGTTCCTAAATCATCGAACAAACAAGATTGCTTTATTAATTTATAACAATATCCATGCTTGAGCATGAAAACTGTTTCATGAATACGGGCCCAGAGCCCTTACTTATGAAACCGTTCTCATTCTGAATCATAGTGACGTCACCAAATATAAACACTTATAAGAACAGACTAGATAATCATTGGGACTTTTGTATAATCATTAATCTAAAATCCATCAATAAAGAAATGTGGAAACATATGAGGATTATAACTTTGTAATGTTCTATATAGAATCTGGTGTAGACGATCGGAAATGAACCTGTACCAGAAATAAACTTAATTTACCTTAAGGACTCGGTTGTAAAACATACATGTACATACGAATATAAATTATAAAAACCCTCCAGACATAAACATTTGATAACATATTTTTAGATAAAAATTAGACATCATGTGATGAAATTAATATGTGTAGACTCCGCATTAAGTTGTGTGAAACAAAATATCAAATTAACGTTTTAGTTTTCAGTTTATCTGTTATGGTTCGTGATTTCTATTCGTTTTACCTTGATTTCCTGTCTTCCTATTTTATTCTTGTCGACTCTAATCTGTTTTATACATTTTTGTTATTGTACATTTCCACAGCTTCTAGTTTCATTAATTAAGTAACACGCTATAATGCTGTCATTGATAGTTATGAGAAAGTCACCCCTACAGGTCGACGATCAAGAAAAGAATACACCTGCTGCTACCAAGTGCGTGTATCGTAAGAGGCCATTAGTGTGGAAACCTTTGCAGGTGAGTTTGCGTTTGTGCCCTCTTCTTTGGGACACAAAAACGTACAAAATGATTCTGCTGCACATATTGCAACATTTCGGATATTTATATTTCTTTCTACTTTTGTCTGCCATTTATTTCCTAACGCGTTGCTTGGCAACACCTCACTTCGGACTTTGACGCGTTGCTAGGCAATACCTCACTTCGGACTTTAATATCAAGCATTGACCCAGGTGAGGAAGGCAATGGGTTCTGCATTTGAATAAGACGTATTTGTCATTGAAACTACGATTAAAGTAGCAAAGTTAGTAATTACCTTAAACCTTTTTAATTTTGAGTGTATCATTTTATAAGTTGTTATTCTATAAGTGTTCATTGCCAATGTCATTAAATTTATCCTGCTTATTTCTTTTTTGGACGTATTTGATAAACATGGTTTCTATGTTGTTTAATATTTTGTTTCTTATAATATTTAGTATCATTGTTATGTGGAGTTGACAAAGATTTACCTTGTTGTCATCATTGGTGAAGCAGAAATCTCCATGTAATTTCTTTTTGTTCATAGTCATATTCGATCCTACAAACCCCTTCAGAGATGCTTACTTGTTAAGTAGGGCTTAGTAATGCACTCTAAATACCTAAGATCTATCAATATTGAAGGAAAACTCCTGTCTTAGCGCTACTTTCCTTGGTAAAGTATTATTGTGTTTTTTTTATAAAGTGCAGGAACCAGCGTTGGTAAATTGTATGATCGAGGAATTGGTAATGGATAGGTCACGATATCGTCCTCAAGGTTCGTTTTATTTGTTTGTTTCTTTTTTATTCTTTCTGCTATTGAAATATGTTTCATACGTTTTTACAAAAGGATGAACTAATAGGAACCAGGTGGTTTTTGATATGCTGTAAAACTCTGCACGAAACACCAACGGATGGCTATGGATAATTTCTGTCAACATCAGAAGGTGGTGTATGTGCTGTACGTCCTCGACACAGTTAGAGGGCAAAATCCTTGAAACTGGTTGTTGTTATTCCCTGCTGCCTGCTTTAGTGTAATGGCAACAACTGGTGCACCCGGTGTCAATATAATGTGACCGGGCGGAATGCTGTGCTGGGTGCAGGTATTTCGGTGAGATAGCACTATGAAGTCGGCATCAGACCTTCGCTATCACAAGGAAACAAGTACACCAACATACTCTGTATCCAGCATACATACATACAAGCTCACTTAATCGACACACATGGAGGCACGTCCTTAAATGACTTAGCTGTTAAAACACTATAAAACCAAACCCAAACTATGAGAAAGTCTATCTAGTGAAAGAAGACGTCGTGTAGAGGTTGCTTTTGAAACTATATCAAACTATTAATGATGTATATGTGCTGCTCGATCAAGGAACATGTCATTCAAACATCAAACATGTCTGGTTTTACCAGCGTTATATAGAAATAAATGAGTAATCAGAAACAAAAGCATGCAAAACAAGATGTAAACAAAACGAATGACAGGTGGTTTTCGACCCTTATACGAAACTAAAATGAAAATGCTGCTAAGCGTCGTCCCGAAAATTATTTCCGCAATTGAAATAGGATATATGTTGAACAGCTCCAGTTGGCATATATACAATCTGTCTAAACACGCCACCACATCTGTATATTTTGACCATGTGATCAAACAGACATAAGGTGATGTTAGGATTGCACGACTATATCTAAAAGATGAGTCAAATCGCACGTTATGACCCTGGAGATCGTTATCAAAACGAGGCTATATGCCCTGCGGTAGATAATGTGTACTATATTGTACTATAAGGTTAGAGGTTGTCTTATAATAAGCAAACATGAATCAGACAACGTTATGGAAAAACCGGAACGGCGGAAGCTATTGCCCCGTCTCGTGTCTAAACAGAGTGTCAGGGACATGAAAACACGAAAACCATCGATGTTCATTCCTATAGATAGGCCTAAACAAAATTAACATTTTAATGATAAACGGGTTTTTAGTATTCTAGTGTTTTTTCTCTGGATGATAATTTCAATACTTTTTTGTACTGTTGCTTTGTTGAGCGTTTGATGATTTCTTTTATAGTAAAGCTAACCATACATAAACAATTTATGTCACTGTTTTCACTGACAAACATGCACATCTCTGTGTAAGCATGCGGATGTGTGAATAAGTAACGTTTTGACTATTCCTTTTGTTTTTTCGAAATAACATTTTGATTTTCATATTTCCAAAACAGAATGCAATGTATAGGGTAGTAGGTCAACTTATTGTTTGAATTTGTCACCTAACTTTTCTTTAACAACATAACAGTTTATTTCCGATAATCTTATGATTTTCTCTTGGCTATAATGTACCAGAATGAGGTTAGTTTGTATGATATCGTGTCACCTTATAAAACCATAAGATAGGTATGGAAGTGCATCACAGCATGTCTGTACACCTGTTACTGTAACGTCTTTGATGAATTTATTATGATATGTTTATGTTATAACTATATAACTTTTCCAATTAAATATATATTTGTCATATGTTATAATTTTTATTTTATTTTTTATACATATATATTACTTTTACTTTAATCAATTTTTCAATTTGTTTTTGAAAATTATAATTTCCATCTTCGAATAAAAAAAAATGCCTTCTTACTGATAAAAAAGAATCATGCGAATAATTATTATTAACATTAGCATGACAGCTGATAGGCTCCTTGATTTATATGTATATAAGAGGTCCGGGAATGGATCTCTCATAACAGGGATGATCTGTAAAAAAGAAAATATCTTGATAAATACATTTTTTGTGTATAACTATTTGTTATAAATTAAATGGGATATGCAAGGGGAGGTCAGAGGAATTGCGTACATTATTGGAATTCTACTTAATTGGATATTCAACATGAAACGTTTGGACTCTCTGCCTTAATAATGTAATATATAAATAAATAAACCTTATTGTCAACACAAAAGTAAGGAATTCGAGCTCAAAGACAGTGTAAAGAAAACAGGAAACAGAAAGACAACGATTAAAACGAGCAAAACTGAAGTAAAAATACATAGTTATATAATTCCTTGATAATAGACATTATTACATACTCAGAACGCTGGGACCCGCTTCCTTAATTTTGTAATATAAAAATTAATAAACACTATTGTCAACACAAAAGCACAAACTTCGAGCTCAAAGATAGTTAACAGAAAACAGGAATTAGAACGAAAATGATAAAAACGAAAAACCGTCATGACAATGTCCACCGTGAAAACAAAACCGAAAGGAGAGCAAAGTGTTTTATAGCTGTATCTAAAAATACATAGTTATAATGGACATTATTTTATGCTAGGAAAAAAAGCGCCTGGATGGTTTTCATACGTAACCATAATGATGCAATATATGAGCTGAATTCCATTGCGATTACAATTACCTTGCAACAGGGACAAAACCTGCTCCCGAATTTACTCATCAATGTCTGTGCGCCAGATCAGTGCCTTGAACTATTTCCGATAAACGCCGTGTTATCAAACCCTTAGCTTTATATCTGAAAACTGGTTGTATTCTTACTGGAATCCCTTGCATGGAAGGCGATAGATTTACTGAGTGACACATTGTTCATTCTTTTTTAAGAGCCAACACATTGTTATATGATGTAGCTATGTACATCAATTTAGGTGTTAGTCACTAAGTTACAATTCATGTTTTTACATTTGTGCTAGAAGCAAGTTAGAACCAAAGTCATCAGTCAATTGAAACATACAAATATAATATTATTATTGACTGACAAAAAGAACATTTTAATTATAAGGTATATCATAGTTTCTCCTAGATCGATATGAATTTATATTAAAAGATTAAGTGTTGTATCTACAACTGTATATTTATATCTCATAATACACAGGTATCTTCTACTGGTCATGGTTCGACCTACAGATATCACATTTAACTCGATGTATTATTGCTTGGACATTGTCGATTGTTGTTCCTTATCATTCTCTTCCTAAATATTGTCATTTGAATATCACGAATAAATCCCAAAGACGTTTGCTACCCCTTCATCCTTAACAAATGATTCCTGCGAATTTTGACCTCGATATATCCTTGTTTTGCCTTGATACCATTATGCCTTACTGGCATTGCAGTTTTCCCTTACTACTGGTTAAAGTAAACCAACCTTTGCGTAACCGGGACCAGCCTTTTACATGTGTTTATTTGACCATTGTGTTATATTTTGTTTACTTGGTTTATGGTTTATTATCATATTTCATGCTTTACATTTATATTGCTTTTCAGGATGTTGCGCTGTTGGGCTGTTTAAGGAATATATCATACATAAGCTAAACTATTCAAAAATACGATTAATTTAAAAGTTTATTTAACGAACGATTACAGAATTCATCACACGTGGTTAAAACAGTTTAAAACAAACTTACTTGGCATGTTATCTATTACAAATTACTTAATAACACATTTCCTGTAACCATTGTGTAACAGTTCTAGAGAATTCAAACAGGACTGCTATTTCTGTCGATTGTGGTTGAATATTCGACAAAACGTTTTAGTTTTCCGTGACTTAATTAACTTGATTTCCTAATTAAAAAAATAAAAAATGAGGGATTTCTATTTAAGACAGGAAGGACAACCTTTAAAGAACAATTCATGGGAAAACAGGGGGCATTTAGTGGCATTGTGTGTGGTCACTGACTAATACCGAGTATCTGTTAACCAATCCCGGTTTCGGTGACTAACACAAGATACCGACAAAGACAGTGTATGCGTTACACACAGGTCTCCAACACAAGATAGACAGTTGTATCAGCATTCGACCAATTACTTTGACATTTAAACATTTCATTGAAAAGGAATTTTTCAAATTCGCTTTTTAAACATTTTTTTTTAAATTCCTTCTTGTAAATATTTGTACTTAAATGTAATATTCATTATCAGTTCAATCGGTCCCCCATCAATCAAGTAGAAGTCTTTAATATATACAGTAATTGAACTACTTAGAAATACATAAATTATTATCATTAATGTGTCGTAACCATTAGAAATGTGACATCAATGTAGACGTAGAATCATTTATTATCGTGGGGTTAAAATTGCATGGTTTTCATATACTAGCCTTCTTCAAGGACATTATATTTCGCTGATTTCTGATTTTGCCCAATCTATATCATACCAAATTTATGTTTTCGTTTGGATTTAATTTCATGGATTTTTGTTTTCCACAAAATAAACGAAATTTAATGTCCCACGAAAACTTCTGATTTTACAGTACTCACACAATCAAGCAATGAATATCAAAAGCAAAATGAAAACGGTATCCACAAATAGGAGTAGCACAGAGGAAGAATAACCAAGTCTTATTATTCTAATAAATGTTGAGAGGGTGATACATTTTAGAAGAAGACTTTACCTGTTTCCATTCATAACATTACTGCATTTCCCCCCTGATATTCAACGGTATTAGTGAATTGGACAAATGTTATTTTGATAGTTTTGAATTTACAGGTAATTAAATTTATTCTACATTAAATTGACAGAAAGTTACACATTTTTTAAGCTATTCACAGACATCGTACATTATCTGATATGAGTATTTTATAGGATTCAGTCTCTGTCGTAGAGGCCGGGAGACATCATACTGCTTTATCAGTAAAATCGTCCCTCAAACAACCTTGGAACACTTTTATGGTGTATGTCTGATGTTGTTAATGATCTGTACTTTTGTTTACACTAGCTCGTACAAATATGTAAATCAAAAGGATCTGAATGAATATATATATTTCAGCTCTGCCTATATATCTGTTGTATTATCTGTCTGTTTCTCTGTCTGTCTGTCTTCCTGTCTGTCTATCCGTCTGTCTGTCTTCCTGTCTGTTATCCGTCTATTTGATTTTGTACAGCTGTCACCCTCATAATACCATAACTGGAATAGTATCATCATATTTTCAAGCATCAACCGAAATAATAATTGCATACCAAACATTTGTTAACATGCATATAAAACAAATAAAACATGTTTAAAAATATTGTATTTTATTACCAAGATAAACTTCAACATCACATATATGGCAACCATTTGGATTAATGTAACAATAATAGGCTGTTACATAAGTATGAATAAATTAAAGGTATGTTTGAATATTCTCTGGGAGTTTTATGTGAAGTTACAGTATAGAACTTGTAAAGCCCTGAACACACCAGACAAATCAATGTAACACATTATTTAGATTGTGTTTTCATTAAATAACACAAAGTTCACTTTAATGTAATTTGTTCCAGTATTCACAATATCGTGTTTTAACTTCCGTCATTACTTTACAAAGACGTGAAAACACTAGTACTGGCCAACGAGTAGATGATCAAAAAGTTATATTGACATACATAGTTGCGTCCTGTCCTATTTGTGTTTTGTTCATGCTATATTTTATTTCTCTTTAACATATTTTCACAATTATAGCTTATTTCGGATCTGAAAAGATCGATCTGGCTGGTAAGAACATCTTATGATGAAAATGAATTAACATGTTATCTAACATTGACAATATCTTTAGTAGAAGTTTATTAGTAGAATGAATAAAAGGTGTTTTCATTTCCTAAACAGATATCCAAATCTTACATAAAAGTACCGTACCACTAATACTTGAAACAGGTTTAAAAAACAAATCTCGATTTAACATAAAAAAAAAATGATGCAATTAGTTGTAAAATGATTGAATTCACCAAACGTATTTGGATGCCATAACAAAATATGCAAAAGGTTATGTTTATAATGGCGTGTTTTTTAGATTGACCCTCTTTAGCCCTTTCACCACTGTAGACCATAACGGGACCATCCAGATCAATGCATGGTAGAGTCTACTAAAGTTATATAGGGGTGAAAGGGTTAATATGGAGGTTAAGTAATCCAATCATTCCTATATCCAGATATTTAAGGAGGAAAAAAAATAACCAAACAAATATAAAAACTTAAATTTTGTTGATATGAATTCCTTCAAAAGCTATCTGGATATACACCAACAGCAAAAGATGAGGAAAAACGAGATACAAACGTGATACAAATGGATTTCTTCAATTAAAAAAAATACATTCATAAAATACATTATATCAAAAAGGAAATTCAACTATCTTTCGCGACCTGCGCGGATGCTCAATATGCCTGCATATCGAGGTAGATTTGTATATAAAAAGGGCATATTTATATTATTGCAAATAAAAAAAAATCGGTTTCAACAGATATTAAATACCCTACCGAAGATAGGCAGTGCCTCGATCCTTCAACACAATCTGATCATAAAACTATAGCGATAACTCCACCTATATGTAACGTATCTTACGTAAAAGAGATATCTATTTCATCTTTCTATATATCATTCTTCTAAAACATCAAACATGTACATTCAAATGCCGATATCACTGTCTCATTCTTTCTTGCTGTCTTTCTGTTCTCTTTGTTTATCTATCATACTGTTGCTTTCACTCTTATTTTTTATTCTATGTAACATTCTATGTCCATTACTCTATCTCTTCAACTATAAAAATACGTCATTTACAGAGGAAGAAATGAAATTATCATCAACACAAAGAGGCTAGACAGCTGAAATGCCAGCACATTGTCGTAACCTGATCATTCAATAATACGTATGCTATTTTTTTTTAAAGTTAGCACTAACTTTATCGTTCATTGATTGGTCAGTATCACCACGAGTTGTTAACATTTTGAGATGTGTACCGATATGGTGAGTATCGCTGAATGGCCCTTGGCTGAGACTGGTAAAATGAAGCCTCGTTTTGGGTTTGGTGGCACTGATTGGTTGGAGTTTGCGCACGGCCTGCGCTATACCCGATGGTATAACCGGATGCAGATGATGTGCAAGTTGGCAGACTCGTACTATTGATTGTCTGTGACGAGAAGGACGCGGAGGCAGATAAGTTATTTTGAGCAAATTGACAGGACCTGAAAGGCTTCACATCTCTCTGACTAGGCGATGAACTGCGGTTCACGTCAGCGTACCGACAGCTGCTGAAGGAAGGCGCTAGGTCATAGCAAGTGGTCGGAATCCTGTCACTTGCAGCAGAGTAGGCCTGTACATTTGGAATGGCTTGCACGTTCGGAACTGACTGTGCTTTTTGTATATTCGGAACAGCTTGCACGTTTCGCACACTGTGTACATTACGTACACTATTAATGTTCTGTGCGTTGACGTTTGGGTAAATGTTACCTTGGAATGTTTGTTGATGGCCGGCCTGGTAGCGGTGGACGGGTGCCGAGGTACAGCCGTTGTACTGAGAGTTCTGCAACTGTTCTGCCTGGGTATTCGCGGATGAGGACGAACTCTGCATGGACTGGATGATAGCGTTAAAATTGAATCTGTATGTGTGTCTTTTTCCCGCCACCTTCGTCAGTATCATTTTGTCGTAGTAGTATCGTAGTGCCCTACTCATATTGTCATAGTTCATAGTAGTTTTATTTTTTCGTTGGCCCCATTTCTTAGCGACAGCTTCTGGGTCGATCATTCGGAACTCTCCACTTGTCCCGGAAGTCTCCCACTTGATACAGTCATCGTTGCCTTCCTCAGTCAAAATCTCCAATAGAAACTGCCAGAGCTTTATTTGACCGCCACCTGTAAAGCAAAAGAACATTTCAATCACCAAATTGAAGATAGAAAATAGGACGTATCACGATTAAAGGTACTATGACGCAATTTCTTTTCGAACTTTGATTTGGAAATTCATTTCTTTGCCACTGCTAAATTACTATATTGACATTTCAATAAAATATTGTGTAAGTAAACTTCAAATGATTTCTATTATCTACCCGGTAAACAAACACTATCCACACACTTTCTACAATACGATTAATAATAAGACAAATATCGATACTTACCAACGAGGAGAGATGTGATTCGTTTTAGGTGGTCCTCGCGAGACAGCTCTGGGATGGCTTTCGGTGACATTCGGGACGGACCTGAAAAAAATAGCCATGTTTTTATAACGAAAATGTTACACATCAATATACTTATAGTAAGTTGAGAAAATTGCATTCAACCAAACAAAGAGGCTAAGAAACAAATTAGAATTACTAAACGTTAAAAAAAACCTAACAAGCTAATGACTAAAAATCAATAATACATTTTCCAGGGATTTTCCGTAACAGAGAACAAACTAAGTAAGTTTTCTTACATATCCCATGCGTATCCATTGCTGATAGCGAGTCGACCAACCCATATATCATTTAACATTATGACAGTATGGTGTTTATTGGCAGAGCTCACTCCTTAATCACTGGGTATATAGGCCTACACACTGTACCGGCTGGCCTTTCATGGTTGGGTGATTTTCACCCCAAAAGTGTTCGATTTACGCATGATTAGACACCCGCCTTCCAGGTAAGGCATATAATCACATGTGTTTGAATACCTAATGACATTGATGAACAAACCCACGCACTTAATTGAATATTTGTATTATAATGACAATACTATAACTATTATAATAACAAAATTATACCCGGACTCTCATTAACACGACATCAATATATTTCAGTAGCGACAAGTCTAAATCCTTTACAGGGTTACTGCATGCAATACAGTTTTGGAGGAGACATGGTTACTGCCATTTAAAATATATTTAAGGCGAAATTGTTACCTATATTAAATAATCTGGATAGAGTGCAAAATAAATGCCACTTACCATGAATAGGATAGACTGGTTCATTCTCTGTGATACAGTCGATGATATCGGAAAGGAGATCAGCATCGCTACTGTATATACTGGAGTTAGAAGCAGGCGACATGTTGCCGGGAAATCCAGATCGCGACACGTGCTCGTCGTAGCTTGGCGGGAACTTTTGACATTCATTCGGATCGCGCTGCTCACAGTCGCCTAACACAGCGCACGTTTGTATGAAGTTTGTAAGATTTGTAAATGTTTTGGAATTTTCACACTTATCAGAAACAGCACCACAGTAGATCGACTGACAGAACAGATCAGACGATGGCTCAATGTTTTCTATTTCAGTGTCCGGCACCGACTGGTCAGTGTTCACATCCAACAAGGAGATGATGTCCTGATCAAAGTCGTTCAAACTCGACTGGTAAGTTGTGGATGAAACGTTACTGGCTGGACTTGCAGAATATCCAAAGATATCAGGGGAAGTGGTGGGTTGTCGGTCGCAGAACATTTTCAAGCTGTAAATCAATAAACAAAACAGTTGTTATGTCAGTGATGTAACGCGAACAAAAATAAAGCAACAAAAGTGAGATAAAACAATATTGTTTAAGTAACAATATAAAACTAGTAAATAGAAACTTTAAATCGCCATTAATAGTTTAAATCGACAAAGTATAAATTGCATTATGATATATCTGTAAATAAATGAAAAATAATATTATTTCAGAAATAATACTTTTTTCAGAAAGTTTACCGGAACGTTAAACCGCATTGCAAGTTTAGCAAATCCATCCCATGTGATAATTGAATAATTACAACAAATACTTAGTAAGGAAGCACCCATTTAAAAAAATATTAAAAAATAGTTGCTTTGTTATCAAATCAATCAAATTTAGCTATTGAATAAGAAATACAATAACTAAGTAAGAACGCACCTTAAAACAATATTAAATAAACAAAATAAACAAAATTAAAATTCAACTTACAGCTTAATGTAACATGTAAAGAAAGCTCGATAAAAGAATTAATCAAGAGATCTAAATCATCCAAATAGTTAACTACTCGTTGTAGCTGTCAGTGTATACATATAATGATGCCCAAATACTAGTTTATGTTTCCAACTAGCAAGTTGTTCACTTGTGAATCACATTACAAATGAGCTAAGCGGTATATGACAAGGGTATTTATACCCAGTAACTGTTGTCAAAGTGGCCCAATGACGTCACTGAATACAATAACAGCTGAAAACGTATCTATGTCCGGTTAGCGGGAAATACCGAATCTAAACTCCCTATCTACCCATAGGTAGCAAAATTAGCATACTATGTCACCACTGCACTGTATACACATATCATGAACTTTGCATATTATATACACAATCTAGATAATACACTGTAAGTTGTCCTACAAAGCAACGTCCTTTTAATAATGCAGGTTACAATTGTTGTTTAACAGGGCTCTTAATTTAAAATGTAAAATTAAACCGTTTTTTAAATTGCTTATTTAACTGCAACGATATCGTTATCATCATTCTCTCTAAATATAGCAGTCTGTTAGTTGAATGAAATAGACGTATATGTTTGCTAGAATTAAAGTGTACATCCAGTTTATTTACATCAAACGGTACCAACAAATGATTGCACCGATCCCCGTCTCTAATGTTTATTTTCTAGATTCAATGAAATATGAATTTGACATTCCAATACTTGTTCGTATCTGAGTTTTGTGCGCGCGCAAATATCTCGTGCGTCAAAGGCATCACCTAACCACTCGATACATGTCAAACGTTCCGATAAGAAAGAGCCTCGGATTATAACCTAGAATACCCACAGATTCCATATCACTCAAATTTAAACGGGATTAAACGCCTGATGTTGGCCCAGTTTTTAAATTATTATCGGTTTGATTTTAGTACCAAAACATGAAGCACTATTTATAAGTCGACAGTATAATGGAACATGTCAACAAAGATCTGTAAAATCTAATTTATTTAAATATAGCCTAAAATTCATAGAGCGTTAGACGTTTGCAATAGGTATTTATATTATAGTCTAACTGATGACCGGCTTAGATTGGTCGAGTTTAGCCGGTACAACAGGTGTCAAAGCACCAGATATAAGAGTTAACATTCATGTTTATTTGAATTTGACACTGTCATTGTTACTGTATTAACTGTCTGTGAAACACATTGAAATATTAACTTATAACGAGTCCTCATCAAAATATCAACTCCTGTTTGTGTCGTTGATTTGGCCTATATTGATAAAGTTTAACACCAGCAGATACAGGGACGTCTCTGCACCTCCAGACGGATATTTATGTAAATACTCATATGTTACTTGGAAAAGCGCCCAAATCTATGTCTATATTTACATGAACATTGTTTGTGTGGATACCTTAACATAACTGATAAAACCTGTTTAAGATAAAGTAACGATAAATGTGCATGAGATTCGACCTAAATTGTCTGCAGTAAGCATAGAGACTATTTATGTACATCTATCGTGTGTACCGTATGTGTTAGAACACACGTACCTATCCTGCTTACGTAATTTTATGTAACGATTTTATATCTGTAGTATCAGATGAAATATTATAACATTAGTTGTTCACGATTATCATATCATCCAATATTATATAGTATGTACTATGTAAAAATAAACACCGATCTAATCAGTAACAAGAATGGCCTTAAAACTCAACTAAGGAAAATAAAATAATATCGCTCATCATGTAGCCAAAACAAGTAACAGTTATGCATGTTGAAAGTTAACTTAAAACCACTATTAAACTATATGAAACATGTACAATAATGTCATTTAACATGCACGTTCTAGTTTCGCTGATCGACTAATGTGTGCCAATACTATGACAACAATACGACTGATGTGTAATACAGATATACGTGAGAGACATGTCAACATAATGATATATTTACTTCTGAAGGAGGAAACAAACCATCCCAATAATTCAATATAGATGACATCGATGCAAGATCATTTTTGACTCTCGTATTTGCCAGCAGAATTATGACATATTCAGTATAATTTAGCATATAAAGTGTTTGCATGGTTTTCTTTGGGCATTAATTATGGATTATATTCAAATGTTTCTAGATAAATTATTTTGATAACTTTTTTATTATTAAAACCATGTTTTAACAACAATTCGTTATACAATTTTTTTATCCACAATTTCATATTGTAATTACAACAACAGCAAATATTTATCTAATTCGCTGATGATTAAGTTAAATGAAAGTTGTTTTGAAATGCCTCTCAAATGTCAACGCGATAAACAATCTGATTCACTGTTCAATGTGTGTCCTGCTTAAACATTTAATTACATATATATGATATCAGTTTACAAAATCTACATATATTACAAATGATACAAGATGACAGGAAAAGTTGTAAATCTTGCTTTGGTAAAAGCAACAATAAGTTAGTGTGGTAATGGTTACATTGTGTATAAGTGTGCTTACCTTTAGTATCAGAAACACAGGTAACACTCGGAGCATGTGTACAGTCGCGTTTACATTCTATGAATGAACCAAAATGTATGTCACACAGACATATACTACATGACTGTTTACCTGATAGGTGACTCAGACTAGAGTAATAATACAACCCACGGTCTCGCGGACAGTGTCACAGAAACTAATTAGCATATAAATGGTATTCTTACCTGTATACCAACGACACCGACCCGTAGGTGTATATACGAAGGTGTATTTACCTGTACAGGTACACACTTAGGTGAGTATCCCAATGAACAAATTATACCTACCTATATGCCCCAATGCTTACATCGATAATAAACCCATAAACATTACCTAACATGAACCTACCTGTGAAAATCGCACCTGTGTAGTCCTTACAATCTCTAACCCAAAGTGACTAAGACCATAACAACTGTCTATTTTACAGTAAATTAACAGTTTAAAGGATGGCGAACCCGTGTGTGGGTACTAGTGAACTATCAGTCGGTAATAACGACGTAACGGTTCGCGGACAGAGAGGGCTTAGTTTTACAAGATAAAAAGATTAGAGAATGCGTTTTTTTGTTTTTCTGTTTTTTGATTGAAGTAATTTGTGTTTTCAGGATCAGCACAGGTTTGAAATTCGAATTACATTATTTGAATGCCGTGAATAATAACATGTTATAAATAATTGTGTAGCCTAACATTGCTAATGTAATACATAGTATTATCTACTGTTCTGGTTTTTTAAAAACACAAACTGCAGATCGGTTCTTCTAATACTATAAAAAGCTATAAGAGGAAATGGTAATGTGTAATACCCAGTAGTTCCCAGAATATAATTATAACTATATGCTTCAAACATAATGATGTTTCAGAATTTCATATATGTAATAAAATGTATGTGTAATAAATAAATAAGCATAACAACACAATATATACATTTATATATGATAATAGGTATGTGTAATATATCTATAGGTATACAAACACAATATAATTATATATATATGATAATATGTATGTGTAATATATGTTTAAGTATAAGAACACAATATAATACTACCAGCGGCAAAACGTGGTACAACAAGATAAGGCAAGGTCACCACAATAATAGACAGCCAATGCAGACTGGTCTGCATACATTACTATACCATACGGTCATACGTGTATAATGATACATACAGATAAATATAACACAGGACACCTTCTTAATCATCGAAATCGAAAGTAAAATTCTGGGATTTTCAATATTCATCATAAAACTTATAAATAATATGAAATGAAGAAATGAATCATCTGTCAGAAGATACTTTCGAAAAATCATGTTTTTACTGTTTTTAAAAATATACGGTTACGACTAAACCTATATTTTGTATTTAACACATGTGTGTGCATATAAATCTATTATATACACTTATAAATGTTTATACACTTATATTTATATATAGAAGTCTGATACCGAAAGTGTAAGGAACAGGAACTAAAATTTGATATAAAATTAGCTTATTAATCATGTAAAAGGTATGGTAAGAACTTCTCAGCTAAACAACACCACACTGTACGATACAATCCGAGCCAACAGCGAACAAGCCATCGCTAATACCAGCCTGGGGCTGTAATCATGAAACCGTTCTCATGCTTAAGAATGGATTATATGCTCAAATTATCAATGAAATTGTATTTTGTCAATGATTTGGAAAGACTTAAAGCCAATTACTGTTTCCAATGTTAAGATTTGACGTCTTGATCGCTTGACATGATTTAAGTGGGTTATAAGAAAGTTGGTGTTGTGTTGAGCACAAAGTCAATGCTTGAGCATGAGAACGGTTTCATTGATACGGGACCTGGGCCCGTATTCATGAAACCGCTCTCATGCTCAAGCATGGATTCTGTGCTCAAACCAACTTTCTTGTAAGTCGCTTAGATCATGCCAAACGATGAAAAAGTCAAATGTAAACATGGACAACAGTATTTTGCTTTAAGTCTCTTAAATATGTTTCCAAATCATTGACAAAATAAGATTTCTTTATTAAGTCATAACCAAAACCAGAAATAAGGTTTGAGCAGATACGGGACCTGGTTCGGTTGGTATAAAAGATAAACTGAAGACACCAATGTGATTGCACCTTTGCTATTTGGTAATAGTTACGGTATGTCAAACTACAGCATACAGGTGTTTGGTCCTCCTAGGCACATAGTTTATGCTAAGGGGCCTACAGATGGAAATCCAAATGAGTCTTAGCTTATGTAAATATAGATTGAGAGATGCATAAAACCACCTTAATGATACAACGTTCAGAAATTAAAGAAATACTGTTCAATGATAATGAGTAATGAGATGTAGTCAGCATCTTACAAACACTTGCTAATTCTATCCTGATTCTATCCTGATTTGATCAATCTAAATATAAATGTAGTGCCGCCAGTTTGCAAACTTCCACTAAATGTAGCCTGATTTGTTTGGTTGTAGATGCGCTAATCTGCGTCTATGAGTTATTGATTTGGCAATTTTTACGGTAAGTTTTGAATAGTTAAGTGAATTGTCTGTCTTATAATAGAGTGTTACTAATTCGGCAATTTTCCGAATAGTTTAGATTGAACAGTTAAGACTCATCTTCTGCAAAGGATTAGGATTGACATCAAATTTAAAAGAGAGTCAGAAGCAGTATTGTACTCTTATTTCTGATATCTCTGTAACCGCCAGTGATTTCTGTTACATCTACTGTCTGTATCTTCTGAAGCAATTGTAGCTTCCGTTTCTTTCTAAAGAAAAAGACCTTTGCAGTATTTGTTATGTGTTTGTATATGTGAATTAAGACATGTAAACTACAACAATAAGACCAGTCCGTTAGACTGACCTACAGGGTGTGAGCGTGTGAGAGCGTGACCCGTCGGTCAGTGTTACTACTATATATAAATCTTTAAAAAGATGGATAATTTGAAAAAATATATTCAATAAGTCTGTAGTTCTACATCCTACAATATGTAAAACCCCGAGGCAGGATTTACATATATAACACGTATCTTATCTAGTGTACGCGTCTGCCGCTGTAATGACGTAAATAGATTTAAATTCAATCTTAATCTATTTAATACATACACATTGACAACTGATTACCTGTCAATATTCCCTTGTCAATAATGTTATTTCATTAAACCCTGTTAAAATGCACGTAGCTTTAAGGAACTTATCGTCAATAGAGAGCTAATAACCTATCAACATGACGTGTTATATGGAAGATAATATTTATACAGTCCGATTTATAAATGACCTTCTTATACGTGCAATTCTAAAAATAGTTTATCACTTGTCTTGACTTTATCGGGATTTGATTAGAACATACGGTCATATTATAAGAAAAAATATGTTATCTCAAATAAAACAGTACAGCCTATCGCTATCCACGTCTGCCGTAGTCATAACGTTTCATCATCACTTGTATGACGTGTTAGACAAAACTGACCTCTCATGAGGTTTAACTCTCTTATCATACTTAATGCTATTATATAAACTGAAAATCATATTGTGGTAAACGAAATAATTAACATGTTTGAAATGTTTACTGTTAAAACAATATAGACAATCTATAACCCTCACAAACAGTCATGTCGTTAAACTAAAGCAAATATTGTACTGGTTTATTACTCCCATGAACTGACCAAGTAAATATGGCAACAATAACTTTTTACTTTTTTTCTATCCTTCACTGATAAGCATAATGTTTTATTGACCTGTTGACTTGGTGTTACCAAACATAACAAATACACTCAAAATATAACATTAACCCATTTTATTAAACGTTGCAATACAAGGTAAATTTCAGTATTGTAGTTGGTATGTCTTTTATTTCCGTTCACAATCATACTTTTCCCAACCAATAACGAAATATTATTTAACTGATAAAGCTTTAGACGATATTTCCTTTTATATCACAAAGAATACACTATTTGAAATTAAGTAAACTGGCAAGGGTTAATTTCGAATTCCGGAAAAAAATAGAAAACAGGGAATTCAAAAACATTAACCGAATTGACACAAAAACAAAAGAAACTTTTTTGATACACGTGTTGTGTTGTCCAGTGTTCTTCGCCGACGAATATATCTCACTATTGACACGCTTGTAAAATGTCAACACCGTTTAAGTGAACATCTTACTTAAGCGTTCCCCCTCAATCTACAATAAAACACCTTAAATCCTTCACAACTATTTACTTTGTTAAGAAACTATGTATTTTCAATCTCGAATAATGTATAACATATTTAGGGGACAACGTCTCAACAGTGTAATTTCAGTGCAGTGTACATACCTAGATCGACCATCACACCATACAATCTACATATTTCGCATACCTGGAACATGCAACATGCCGATAGCCTGTAGATGTATACATAATGTGTTTGTACAGTGATTACCGTATCCTGAACGGGATTCCAGTGTCTTTTAAATCGTGACGAGAGACGCTGGGCGTTTCTAAAGATGAGATTATTGTTTTAGACAAATTGTGAATTCCCTGTTTATAAATAATCATTATACAATTAAGAGGAAAAATCAAATAAAATAGAAATTAGATAAAACTTTCCCTACGTTTACGAACCTCGTATTCATTACATCTTAGTTTAACATTTCGTGTCTTTCAGAGCTAGTTTTGGTCAACTCCGGGTTTTTTTTATATCAATGTCACTCTATTAGTTTTCGTGTCTCCTTGATTCCCCTTAGATTCTCAGTTCCGCTTTAATCTAGGAAATATATGGTAATGGGAACTTATTTTCATGACCATCGATAAAACGAGACGTCAGTATAATCCAACTCCTGTTAAATATCTGTCACACATCCACGTAAAATTTGATATTCACCGGACATATTCACATCACGATATAACATGGTTTAACACTGATTCATATAAACGTTACACATGAATAATGAGTATTGTATAACGCATCGTCCTATACAGTGAGCCTGTCTTACACACTATAAGACTACACTACCGCATCGCTATGTACAAAGTGATGTCACAATGATCCATATCGGCATTACATGTGTAAACACATCGGGACAAACTACACTATAGCGCCAACACACGAGGATAAAATATACAACAGCGTCAACACACGATGGTAAAATATACAACAGCGTCAACACACGATGACAAACTATACAACAGCGTCAACACACGAACATAGTTACATCGTCAACACACAATGACATAATATATTACAATGTCAATACAAGGACACAATATTTCAAAGTATCAACACAAAAACAAGCTTATTATACTACAGCGTCAACACCAAGGGCCAAATTACACTACAGCGTCAACACACAGGACAAAATAAACCAAAGCGACAAAAAATAATGACAAAAATTATTGAACGATAATTAATTTGGACA